AGAGTAGAGCCCAACATCTCCATTCTCATTCACAGCAGCTACTGATATGGAGTAGTTTGTGGAGGGAGTCAGTCCAGTCAGAGTAACTCGTCCTCCATTCCTCCAGTCTTCACCATCTCCCAATGCATAGTCTTCAGTCAGCTTTTGCTGTGTACCGAACTCTGTACTGAGTGATTCGACCATTGACCAGTCTACAGTTGGAGAGGCCACTCCACTGGACAGAGATCTCAGTGGAGCTCTCAGCCTCTGCTCTCACATCCCCAGGAGCCTCTCTTGCACCTGTACATACACATACAGACATACACACAGACTGTGAGACCACAATCCTCAGTGGGTCTCACTTGTCTGTGGTGTTAGAACTCTCCTGGTCTCACTGGGTCGACTGGTACCTCGAACATCACTGACTGCCTCCACAGTCACCTCATATGTGGTGTAGGCTCTCAACTCATCAGTCACTGTTGACCCCACATCTCCTCCTACAGCAATACTGACAGTAGTGGAGGGAACATCCACTGTCAGAGTGGCAGTATGAGAGTCAGTAGGACATAGTCCCTCCTGATTGGTTCCCTGAGCCATAGAGAATGTGACAGTATATCTGTCAGCATCATCCACTGCCCCCCAGGACACAGTGACTGAGGATGATTCTGCAGCAGTCACCACACCTTCAGGAGTGTCAGGAGCTGTGTTAGAGAGAGAGAGGAAGGGAATGGTAAGAGTAAACTGCAGTTGTAACCACTCACCCAGTGTAATAGTCATCTCCTCAGATACTCCAGGTAGCATGTTGCTGGCAATAGCCTCAATTGAAAAGGTGTATGTCTCTCCGTTAGTGAGATCATTGATTGGAGTGCTGGTGGAGCCTTGACTAACAGTTTTAGTCCCTTCACCACCATTACCACTGGCAAGACGGTAGCGTACTGTGTATCCAGTCACAGCGGCTTCTAGTGGTGGAGTCCATGTCACCATGACAGTGGTAAGAGCAGTTTGCATTAGTCCAGTGATGGTTGAAGCAGCAGCTGTAGCATAATGTAAAACAATCTACAGACTCAGTCCACACTGCATGACGAGTGTTTACCTCTCAAAGTCACACTGCCAGTCTTTGATGCAAAACTAGTGACATTGCACTGGAATACATCTCCAACCATGCCACTGGATATGACTTCTGTCCTGGCAGTGTATCTGTCATTACTCAGAAACAGTGGAGTATCAATTGGCTGTATGTTGGTACTGATGTCAGAGTTGTATCCACCAGGTCCAGAGACGGCCATGTTGAGAGCTCTACCACCAGTGGAGGTACACCTCACTCTGAATGTCAATGTTCCTGCCTCCACCTCAATAGCTGCAGTTACCTCAGTGACTGGAGGAGAGGAATCATACAAGACTACCTCTCACTATATCATCATGAGAGATGGCTACTCACTGGGGTAGAGGACATACAGTCCTACTAGTTCGTTTGTGTCTAAACGAAAATAGCAGTTGATATATCCTTCCTCTGGAGTTTGCGACCTTCTCCAAATGTAGTGTACTCTACGACTACCTTCATTAGCTACTCTCCTTCCACTCCATCCTCGAGTTATTCCGCGGTCATTACGCCACTCTATTGTGTGTGTGTTGTTGCTTCCCGCATTACAAGTGACTGGACTACCTCCACCACCAACACGACAGACATGAGTAGACTCAGTGACATCAGAGGCAGACAGTTCAGACTGACACCTCAGAGCTCTGTTGAAATCACTACTACTACTACTTGGTGAACTAACAAACTCAAAGTCATACACACTGATCCTCGTCATGTTGTCATTGGAAACGGATATACTGTTCTGACCATTATTCACAGTTATAGTCAGTCCTGTGGAGAGATGAGAGAAACGAACAGCAAACTACAAGCGTAGAAATTGCCGTCGGCCTTGGCAATAGCTACTCGTGGAAAACGAGCTCCTGGGCTCGACGATGCACAGTAGCTAGCTAGCTAAACATACCTTTTACCCGCAGTGTCATCCAACACAGAACAGCAGCTAACAAGACACGAACTAGTACATCCATGACGCTCTGCAACTCGGTTTCACGGCGGTTTCAGGCACACAACATTCGCCGCCGGCGGAGTAAGATATCAGCTTGGCGCATGCGCAGATACAATAACGATTTTTTTTTTTCCCGGCTAAAAATAACTGACATGACGTAATGGTGTTGCGTTATGACTACTAAAAGTTAGCGTAAGTGTCAAAGGAGTCCAGAAATACCAAAACTGCTTCAAATATAGTCTTGTACTGCATCTGTGAAAAAATTGCACATCAGAAACACAGTATGGATGGTTGATGTGTTAGGTGACGTACCACAGTGCGCACAGCTCCAGGTTTCTGTACACGGAGAGCCTTGACCACCTGGAACACATCCACCACTCCCTCTGTCTTACACCTCTCAATGGTGGTGGCTATGGCACAGAACATCCCCGACCTGCTCACTGTATCACTGCACACAGAATGTCGCACCAATACTACATCTGCAATAGCTGGTGGCCAACCTGCAGTGGACAGTGATGGTGTGGTTCCCAGTTCTCCTCTGTATCTTTGTCATCTCCTCCACCACACTGCTCACGCTGTTCAGCTTCCCACAGCTGCCGTCTGGGGCCCAGTTGGTGATGTGGAACTGACTCACCTGGTGGGACTTCCCTGTCTACATGGGCAAGAGGAAGAGGAGGAACAGATAGAGAGGGGTAGCTATGGGCAATTATACTGTGTACATTAACAAACCTATACTAAAAGATCCTTTATAGCATAGAGAAAAATGGGCGAAAGACTCAAATTTTTCACTAGGCGGTTTTATGGGGTCACGAACCTCAGTGTGAGTGACAGAGAGGGTCTTGAGAACAGAGTTGTCCATCAACTCTTCTCCCAGAAGATCAACTTTGAACTCTCCAAATGTGAGGGAGCCACTGGAAGGCCAGTACTGGTAGCATGTCTCCTGCACACACACACACATGCCATGAATACCACAGCAATACTGCTGTATGGCCTCCCACCTTCCCACTCTCCACCAGGTCACACAGCATCACCAACACTCCACACTTCCTGTCATAGACCATCTTCCAGAAATCTCTGGCAGTGGACTGCATGGGACTCTGAGCTATGATGAAGGCTCTCTGCTGCTTGTAGCCCTGGGAGGTTTTGCAGCAACGACACAAACAAGTTCATTCCTAGCAATGTTACATGGATTAAGGTTACGGTTGCTTACGTTGATGAAAACGGCATTGATGTAGTCAGGATGGTCTCCTCTCAGAGCCACTCTCCACTTGTCAGCTGGGGATATTATAATAATAGGTCACATTAGGTACATAATAGTTGAGAGGTCTCTACAGTATATACTGCACTGCTGTATCATTACCTGGCAGGAATTCCTGTGAGCGATTTCTGTCAGGGTTTCTGGCAGCAAACTTGGCAGTGACCTCGTCGGGTCTTGGACTCACCTGCTCCAGCACCTGCACAACAAGCAGACATATTACAGCTCTCACTAATACGTGAAAGAGAGGGAAAGAGGGGAAAGAGAAAGGAAGGATGGACGAACGGCGAACTGGTGGGCGAATCCCTTGTCTGCCATCTGTTGAATGGCCCGTCGCAGGTCGCTGGAGGCAATCTGGGTGTCTCCACACGTCACAGACTCCAAGATGGCATCGTGGATAAAGATGTACTGGTCCTGCGTGTGCATGTTTGGAGAAAGGTGTTCAACTGTCTGGAAAACAAAGCCGCTTCATCTTTCCGTTTACAGAGAAAGTGCAGGAAACTGACAGTATTTTTATTAAAATCTATAGTTGTTCCTTGGTGGGTGTCCGTAGCAAGTATACACTTACCACAGTCTGGACCAGCTTCATCCTCTGGTGGCGGATCTTGTTGATGACTCCAGGAATGTCCACCACATTCTCCTTGCCCACCTGCTCCAGAACATGGTCTATGGTGATGAATGTCCCTGTCCTACCCACTCCAGCACTGCACACAGGGAAATAAGAGGGAGGAGGTTAAAATATCAAAGATCTTAACGTTTAGCTTGTATGTATAAAGGGAGTTCTTTATAGATGTCAATTTCACAAATGATGCTGGGGAAAAGATGCAGAGCTCTGGACGACGAATAATTCTATATACCTCAGTTTTCTCTAAGTGTATTGGAGCTCTACCTGCAGTGGACCATGATAGGTCCCTTGCCAGTCGGGTGTTCCTTCACCACCCTCTTGTGGAAGGTCAGGATGGGTGTGGCATAGTCGGGCACTCCGTGGTCAGGCCAGGCTGTGAAGTGGAAGTGAGTGACTCGAAGTGAACTCCGGGAACTGCCCACCAGCTGGAGAGGAGAGGGAGAAGGGGTGGAGGGTGGAATTAATTTTCCTTCGCAGCCTTGAGAGGAATGCGTGCCTCATTACTCATGTTCGCATAGCTCCACTCCCACTTAATAATGAGTCATTAGTAACGCTTTCACAATGAAATACTTGAGAGCTCTCCACTAATTGAAGCAGCAATGTGCATTACCCAGACCACTAACACTACTACCAGCTAGTGTACAGCTGACATACAATGTATACCTGGACAATGAGGGTGCGGACCGTGTAGTCAGCTAGAGTCTGCTGGTCAATGAGTGACACCTCAAACGGACCGAATCTAGCAGAGTCCTTGTCAGGCCAGTACTGATGGCACTTTATCTTGGTCCCCTCCACCAGGTTCGTTATCATGACAATGGTAGGGGCCCTCTCCTGCCAGACCAGCCTCCAGAAGTCAACGACCGTGACAGGCAGAGGTCCTGGGGAGAGGAAAGAGAGGGAAGGGAGAGGGTAAGCTGGAGAGATGGACTCTCCGTCGTGAGATTGTTTAGACGACTCAACACACACACATGCACAAGCAGACGGGTGGAATGCAAGAACTGAATGTTTCTCCATACCTTGTGTGGCGAGGAATTTGCCTGGCTGGGAGTATCCCTGAACAACATGAGAACATGCTCCGTCACATTAGCATGAGCTGGGTAAAAGATAGGGGCTTACGTCAACATAGCTGCCATTGATGTAGTCGGTCTGACAGTCCTTGTGTCCCTCCAGTGGTCTCAGCGTCACGCGATGGTCATCATCTGTAGTCACAAGAAGGTTTACTCTCTGTGTGTTCGAGGGAATGGTTTGTTTGTCACTCACAGACACAGATGTTTAGGAAACGGTTCTTGGGTTTGTTGTCCGGGTTGATGGCAATAGTTGTTGACTTGTCGTCTCCATTGTACAGACCCTATGCAAGCACATAATCACAGTCCACACGGGGTTAAGATGAATGATGTACTGTGTATTACCTGGTATTGGTCTTGGAAGGCTTGGTTCTGGTTGGAGTGGCATTGCTCCACAAAGTTACCAAACAGAGTCACTGGTAGACCAGTGCTGGGAATGAGCTCAGGTGCTGCGCTGACTCCCTTTTTCTCCTCTTCTTCCTCCCTGACAGTGAGCCTCACCTCTCTCTCTGCCCTGCCTCCTGGGTTATGGGCCACCAGCTGGTACACTCCACTGTGTTTGGTCTCAGCAGAAGGCATTGACAGAGTCCCGTCCTCCGCCAGCTCCCTGGAGTAATCCGGCACCACCTCTACTCCGTTGTGGTACCAGATCAACTTGGGATCTGGGGTTCCCGTCACTCTGACACCAAATGCGACTCTCTCTCCCTCCATCACCTCTAACTCTTCTGGGAACTCCTCTATCTTTGGAACTACAGTAACAGTACAACAAACTTGCATAAGATCATGAACGCAAAAATATGCTGTAAAATGAGACTTGGAAGCTATGTTTTTCTGTACATAAGGAAATTTTCTGACCAATGAGATTGTCGTAGATGGCAGTCTCTTCGACTCCGTTTCTGTTGGAGACAAGTTCCACGTCGTCTGCCTCTGTCGACTTTGACAGAACTTCAACTGTGCCTTGTGAGTAGGACGTTGGCAGCGAGTGGTTTTTAAACATCGTCCCATCCAAATTGCGTGGGTCGTACTTTTGCTTTGTTCGCCTCCTGCCAAGATGGGGAGGTGGACATTTGGCTCAGGATCACCATATCCTATTATTTCATTCACTACACCAGCTCACCCATAGTCTTCTACAGTTGACTATGGGTCCACTATCTTACCTGCAGCACAGGACACAGAAGATGATGAAGACGACGACAACTAGGACTACGGCCACTGCAGCTCCTCCCCCAGCTGCCCCTGCCGCCACTGCCAGACTGGAAGCCTCCGCTGGGGGGAGAATGGTAATTCTCTGAGCTGGACTAGTGAATTACGACTGTAGAGCTATGTTTGGACCAAAACCACATCATTTAACTATCCCACTGCAGCATAGAGGGAAATGTTGGTGAAGAAAACGGTCGTGTTTTTCACTGTTTCAGGGGCAGTTTCACCATCAATTCAATGGGGGAGGGGAAGTAAACTAATGAAAGTATATTATACCTGGAGTTGTGGATGCAGTGATGTCGTCTGAAGTGCTCCCGGCAGCATTGCTGGCAGTTATAGTGATGGTATAGCTCTCTCCTTCCTCCAGACCCTCAATAGTATAGCTCTCCTCTTCACCAGACACTTCTGTACTCAGCCCAGTTCCCCAGACTATGTCGTAGCTCTCCACCTGGCCTCCAGCTACAGTCCAAGACACTGTGATAGAGGTGCCTGTGGTGTCTGCCACACTCAGCTCCAGGTCCCTGGGAACTGAGGGAGAGGTGAATGATAATCATACATCACAAGGTCTCCAGTATATGTAGTAATGAGTATACTAGACACAGAGTGTCTCAAACACAGCTTGGCCAAATTGATATTAGTTTGACTGGTGCATGTAGAATATTTCTTTAATGCAACGTCCTACTCAATTAAGTATTCTTCAAGCTCCAGATATAAAGAGACTCTAGAGTGTAGTATGTCTCCCACCAATACCTCTGACTAAGTCCAGTGTGTCAGTGAGTGTTGAACTGGGGAGATGTTGGGACCTGGCCACCAGGGATATAGAGTAGCTCCCTCCCTCTGCCAGGTTCATCAACTCCACCTCATTGGTGCTGGCCTCGCGGACAACTGGTGCCTCATTTGACCCTGTACTGGAGTAGAATACAGTGTAGCCAATGGTATTTCCCAGTGGAGATGGAGGAGTCCAGGTCACTCTGATAGTTGTAGCATCCGTTTGAATCAACATCAAATTAGTAGGGGCACTCGCAACTGTGGGGGAATACAGGTGAAAGACTCAAACTCCCCCTGATGTTTTCTACCTTCTATGTTTTGCCCTCTACTGGCAGTAGTTGAAATGCTGTTAGAAACGGTGCAGACGTAGACTCCACCCAGTCTCCCAGTCACAGTCAGAGTGTGGGTGTAGTGGGCAGCCACTGCGTCATTCAACACAGTTGTTCCTTCGCCAACTGTGTCAGAATCTCTGGTCCAAATGACAGATGTAGCAGGTCCATTGGTGGAGTTACAGGACAGGGTAAACTGAGGCTCCTCTGCAGTTAGCTCTGAGACCAGTGTGAACCCTATCTCCCCATCAATCACCACCTCACCTGCAAGACAAGAACATAAAAATAAATACAACTAATTAGCTACTAGTTAACCCACCTCCCTGCTGATTGTAGATACCGACAAAGACAGTTCGAGAGTTCCCAGAACTGTCGGTGGCACTGCAGGTATAGATTCCCTCCACTGGTATCCCTGAGCCTCTCAACAGGTACACCCCGTCAGAGCCATCACTGACAAAGAACCCCTCAGAGCTGCTGGAGCTTAGCATGGTTCCATCGGGGTTAAACCATCCACCTGCGGGTGTCCCATCCCCGGATTGGTCAGTGCTGCAGACCAACCCGGTATCAGTGGAGTTGCCCAGTTGACTGATGTTCACCAAACCATTCGTGGGGAGGTTCATCCCACCAAAGTTGAGGTATACAGCTGTGATTACAGAAAACAAAATTCCATTCATATTTCTGTAATGGTGTTGACAGATGTACAAGGACAGTAAAAGCATTCCAGTAGCTTGTTGACTAGGTGAAAGACATATATGTCCAATGGAACTTAGTCTGTGTAGTTTTTCTTTTTCGTATGTTTACAGACTAACTTTGAGGTGTGGTAACAGTGAGATCTCGATACACCCCAGTTCCCCTGCCCATTGACTCCTGCAACTTGCACCAGATACATCGTGTCAGACACCAGTCCAGAGATATCAGTTGTTAGAACATCAGGGTCACTGACATCTATCATCTGCATGCTCCCATTCCCCTGTACCAGTATAGAGTAGCCTGTGATGTCTCCATTACGGTGGATACAAGGCACCCTCCCCCACTGAATACTGAAGCTGTTTGGAGTGACACTGGATGAGGATAGACTAGCAGGTGGAGCTGTGGGATCTGGGGGAGAGGAGAGAATGGCATGTGACAACACATTACACAGGTAATTGAGCAGGGAAATACCTGCTTCAGCAGTGGATAGCACTAGCGGGTCACTGATTGCAGACCCAGCAGCATTCATTGCATTGACTCTGATGCTGTAGCTGCTATCACCAAACAGGCCGGTGATGTCATAGCTTCTCTCTGAGCCTCCAGACACAGTGGCACTGCCCACGTGTTCACCAGGACATTCTCCTGAGGTGTCTCTCTGCCACTCCACCTCATATCTCTCCACCACCGGACCAGAGCTGGTCCAGGAGATAGAGATTGAGAATGGACCTATTGAAGGCTCCGTCACATTTGGAGCTCTCACTAAAATGAACACACGGTGTATTCACTGAGTATACAGATGCAGCATCGGCAGCGGTACATTGCAAGTGGAATTGCACGAAAAATGAAAAGCACTAAAGTGAAAACCCTCGGCGAACTTCGCATGCGTGGTACCGCTAATTGACGGGCTGGACTATTTAGTATGCGTTTACTCGTGGTCTCCCGCTAGTAGCTCGCGGAGAGTCTGACACGGGCTAGCTACAGTAGTAGATAGCATGCGTGAGTCGATACACGGCCTTCGTTGTGACTTATTGTGCCTTCAAGATACACAGAGCAAGCGGATCAGGTCGGGGTGAGCCAGCATACCGCGTCTAATATACGCATGCGCACCGCACGGACACTGGGACACTGTACTACAGGTAGCTACACACGAGTACTCGGGTGTTGATTTTATCTATGTACATCTTTGTGTGTGTATAATTATAGGTTGTACAGTCGCTGAAGTTACCGGACAAGACCCTCATCAACCTCTACGAGCAGGTGTTTCTTCTTTTTCACTCCTTCTACAGAGCATATTCAGGGGAACAAATGAAGAGATAGAGTGACTGTATGTCTGCTGACTCTGAGTGTACTACTGTAGTGGTACCTGATGTTAGTGTGGTCATTGGACTACTGTATTCCCCAGGTCCAACACTAGTTCTTCCTGCTACTTGATACTCATACATTGTAGCTGCTTCCAGTCCAGAGATTGTGGCCATTCCTCCACTGGAGTCTCCATCAACAGCCATAGACTCTGTGCTCCCACTCCCCATCACTCCATACTGGACTGAGTAGCCTGTGATGTCTCCATTCTGATCAGCACAAGGCACCTCTCCCCACACCACAGTGATGGTGGAAGAGGTCACACTGGCCACCATCACCTCAGACGGAGGGGCAGACGGAGCTGTGGGAGAGATAGACAAACTAAACAACTCATTCCATTAGAACATAGACAGTCTTACCTGCTTCTGCAGTAGCCTGTAGGACAGTGTTCCTATCAGTAACAGCACCATCCATCAGGAGAGCTACAGTGATTGAATAGTCTGTTCCCTCCTCAAGACCTCAATATGTTAGTTTCCTCCAAGAGAATCAGTAGGAATAGAGATGGTGTTGGATTTTGTGAAACAGTCAGTGTATTCAGTGTTTCTGTAGGAGATGTTGTATCCTGATGGCATTATTGATCCCTGTGCTTCCTCAATCACATCCCATTGGATCAATATGGAATTAGTGGTAGCAGCAACTATGGTCAAAGTGATTGCAGCTGTGGAAAGAAAAGTCATTAGAAAGTAGTTGTAAAGCCACAGTAGAACGTACTCTCAGTGTTGACAATGAGTGGTGGGTCACTGTATTCTCCAACACCAGCTGAAGTTATGGCAGCCACTTGGACAGTGTAGTTTGTAGAGGTTACCAGTCCAGATATTTCAGCTCCATTTCCAGTGTATATTAGGGTCTGTGTGTTCCCACTCCCCTCCACCCCATACTGGACTGAGTAGCCTGTGATGGCTCCATTCTGATGGATACATGGTACACTCCCCCACTGGACAGTGATGGTGGTTGATGCACCATCAGCAGTCACGTCAATTGGAGAAGCAGACGGTCCTACAGTTCCACACATGATCACGAAATGAAATTTACACAATTGGTAAACTTACTTGCTTCACTAGTTCTTCCATTAACTGCAGTACTATCAACACTACCCAGAGAATTGCTAGCTCTGACAGTAATGGAGTATGTGATGTATTCCTCCAGACCCTCTATAGTGTACTCTCTGCTCCCACCAACACCAATGTTCTGACTGCCTCCACTGATACCAGGACACCCTCCACCATATTCCCACTCCACCACATAACTGACTCCCTCTGAGCCACCACTGCTCCAGGTTACTGGTATACTGGTAGCTGTCACTGAAGACTCAACCACCGTCACAACTGGAGCCTCAACTGGTGACATGATATTTATGACGATGAGATCATGAAATGTGGTAATTCAGACCTCGTGTCAGTTGATTTCTGGGATCACTGTACTCTCCAATACCAGCATTGTTGACTGCTGCTACTTCAATAGAGTAAGTAGTGGATGACATGAGGTTTTCAATAGTCGTCTGAGTCATATCAGCTCCATTAACAGCCAACATCTGTGTGCTCCCACTCCCCTCCACTCCATACTGGACTGAGTATCCTGTGATGGCTCCATTCTGATGGATACATGGTACACTCCCCCACTGGACAGTGATGGTGGAAGAGGAGGTACTGGATGATGTCACTGACATTGGAGCTGCAGTGGGTCCTGAGAAGACACACTATCATGCATTACATCATTAAAAGCTTATAATACTCACGTGCCACCATTGTCATTGCAGTGATTTGGTTACTTGGTTCATCTCCGAGGGTATTGGAGGCTGTCACAGTGACTGCATACCTACTGTCTTCCTCTAGTCCAGTGATATTGTAGCTAGTCATGGAACCTCCAGTGATAGTGGTACTGCCTGTGTCCTCATCAGTACAGCCTACTGAGGTGTCTCTCTGCCACTCCACCTCATAATGACTCCCTCTGAGCCAGCACTGGTCCAGGAGAGGGAGATGGAGGTGGCTGTTGTGGAGTCTGACATCAGAACTGGGACAGCAACTAGGGGGAGGAAGCAATCAAAAACATTACTCTGACAATTCCACATGGGTACCATGACATCTGTTCTATGATAATCACAGTCAATGAATACACACCTTCAGTCAATTCATTCTCTGAACTACTGTATGTTCCAATGAGTTGGTTGTTGACTGCTGCAACTCTAATGGAGTAGGTAGTGGATGGGATTGAGACCAGTGATGGTGGTCTGAGTGGTACTAGCTCCTGAGACAGTCATAGTCTCTGTGTTCCCACTCCCCATCACTCCATACTGGACTGAGTATCCTGTGATGTCTCCATTCTGATGGATACATGGTACCTCCCCCCACTGGACAGTGATACTAGTTGAGCTCTCCACCATTGCATTCACAGGAGACGGAGGGGCAGATGGAGCTGATGAAAGAACACATTCACATTAACATGTTGTCAGAGTCAGCCACACTCACCAGCAATCATTGTCATTGCAGTGACTGGCTCACTTCTTTCATTTCCAAGAGAATTGTAAGCTGTCATATTTACAATGTACCTACTGTCTTCCTCTAGTCCAGTGATATTGTAGCTAGTCATGGAACCTCCAGTGATAGTGGTACTGCCTGTGTCCTCATCAGTACAGCCTACTGAGGTGTCTCTCTGCCACTCCACCTCATACATGACTCCCTCTGAGCCAGCACTGGTCCAGGAGAGGGAGATGGAGGTGGCTGTTGTGGAGTCTACTGTCAGAACTGGGACAGCAACTGGGGAGAGAATAAAGAAACATTAGTACAACCATTTAGCATTGATTCCTCTGTAATACCCAGTGTCATAGCAGATTGACTGTCGCTAAAGACTCCAGTATCAACACTATTCACTGCTGCCACTTGCACAGTATATGTTGTAGATGGATTTAGACTTGGTATAGTAGCTTCCATCTCAGTAGCTCCATTAACAGTCACAGTCTGTGTGTTCCCACTTCCCATTACTCCATACTGGACTGAGTAGCCTGTGATGGCTCCATTCTGATGGATACATGGCACCTCTCCCCACTGGACAGTGATGGTGGAAGAGGTCACATCAGTTACAGTCACATCAGAGGGAGGGGCAGATGGAGCTGTGGGAGAGAGGACCATACAATAGACCACTAGCAGTGGTAGATAGTCTCTCACCTGCCTCCCCAGTCATTGCAGTCACTGTGTTACTGACAGGACCACTACCAGCTCCATTAGAGGCTGTCACAGTGATGGTGTACCTACTGTCCTCCTCTAGATCAGGTATAGTATGGCTGGTAGCAGTGATAGTGGTACTGCCTGTGTCCTCATCAGAACAGCCTACTGAAGTGTCTCTAGTCCATTCTATAAGGTATTCAGTCACCACTGAGCCACTGGGAACACTCCAGGAGAGGGAGATGGTAGTGGCTGTTGTGGAGTCAAGACTGGCAGTTGGCTGACCAGGAACTGCACAGGATACAGAGAACAACTTAAATCATTGATCGAAGGAACTATTGGACTTACCTAACCCAACAGCCATTGCTGTCACAGTGTCACTAGCAAGGTTGTTGGATGTGGCTACAATGGATATGGTGTAGGTCTGTCCATTGGTGAGACCAGTCAGAGTGTAGCTGTTGGTATCTCCACCACTGACAGTCTCACTACCACTGCTGCTCCTCCAGTGTAGGAGATGGTGTAGCCAGTGGCATCACTGGATGGACTCCAAGACACTAGGATACTAGTGGGACCATCCTGGACTGCTGTCACACCAGTGGGAGCCTCAGGTCCTAAGATTTGATTCACAGCTTAGCATATTACTACATCAAACTTGCTGGAATACCTGTCACAGTGATGGTAGCAGAGGCAGAAGATGGCTTGTTATTAGCCACAGTACAAGTGTACTGTCCTGCAGTAGTCACAGTCAGAGTGTGGGTGTACTGTGCAGTCACTGGGTCATTCAACACAGTCTGGGTTCCTTGGGTGACAGTGGTGGAGTCTCTGGTCCAAGTGACAGTGGTAGCAGGTCCACCAGTGGAGATACAGGTGAGGGTCAGCTGGTCGGAGTCAAATGTCACTCCTCCAGATATTGAGATGTCTCCTGCAATGATATAATTATAGTGTATAGCTAAATTAGCCAACTTTAAAACTACCACCTAAAGATCCAGCCAGCCAGTATTCAGACATGCATATATCGTGCACTGTATAGTGCTAAACATTGAGATGGGTTAGTAAATTCCATCCTCAAGTAGTGAAAAAGGGGGAGTTTTTGCTGGTATCCGTGGAAGCTGTAGGCTACAGAGCAAATCACAGCTTTATGTGACAGTTTATACCTCCACTGGCAGTATACAGTCCCACATAGACTGGTGTGTCTCTCACTGAGATGTCAGTATCATCATGGACAGCATTAGTTGGAATATCACAGCGATAGATACCAGTTGGTGAGTTAGCATTAGTGTTACGACGTATGTCAACTCTCTGAGCATCACGAAACTCATAGATATCAACATTAGACAGGAAAGGCAGTCTAGTTCCATCAGGGAAATACCAGTCTCCACGATGGATACCCTGAGTACCACTACAACATGTGCTCAGGTCAGTATGACACTGAACACTGTCACTACCACTGAGATCATTCCCAACTTGACTGATGTCCACATAGGAATTGTTGGCCAGAGTCTGGCCCATGAAGGAGAGACGGGGAAAGGTCTGAGAGTGGACCTCCACCAGAGACCAGAGGAGACTCAACAGAGACACAATTCTCATCATTGATCTGTTGCACATCACTCACACCACCGACTGAGCAACTGAGTTTACACAGGCTGATGGATAGCAGAGATAAAACCCTCCCATATATGGAAAACAGAAAATTCCGGGTCTCCACTGGCGTTTATCAATGTATATTCATGTGCTAGCTTCTTTATAATAAACAACAAGATGTGCAACGTCCAACACTAGTACACATAAACTACATTTAAACAGATAAAAAGTCAGTCATGTAGTGGTTGCAGAGGTCTGGCACATCTTGCTGGACCCAGTGACTGCAGTTAGGAATATGTAAAGAGTCTATAAAGAGTAAGTTACTCTTCACATACCTCCACTGGCAGTATACAGTCCCACATAGACTGTGTCTCTCACTGAGATGTCAGTATCATCATGGACATCATTAGTTGGAATATCACAGCGAAAGATACCAGTTGGGGGAGTTAGCATTGTTCCTACGACGTATGTCAACTCTCTGAGCTCCACGAAACTCATAGATATCACCATCATCATTAGAGAATGGCAGTCTAGTTCCATCAGGGAAATACCAGTCTCCACGATGGATACCCTGTGCACCACTACAACATGTACTCAGGTCAGTACGACACTGAACACTGTCACTACCACTGAGATCATTCCCAACTTCACTGATGTCCACGTAGGAATTGTTGGCCAGAGAAGTCTGGCTCATGAAGGAAACGTAAGGAACAGTCTGAGAGTGGACCTCCACCAGGGACCAGAGAAGTAACAATAACGATGCGAAATTCATCACTATTCAGTACTACTACGTTTTGCGTTTTTTTTCTGCAGCACCAGCGTCAAAAGAGAGAGCAGCCTACCCCGGCAAACTACGCATGCGCAAAGTAATTCATGTCCGCAACTAACACATCAACACATCAACACATCAGATTGGTTCATAGAGAGAGTCTCCAGCAGCAGTAACGGTGGGCTGGGAGGAGGCGGGGGGAGGAATGTTTGTGGTACTTCATAATCATCTTCAGCTGTCCTTCCAGTCCCTCTCACTACATTGTAGGCCTCATTACTGGTGGTCTGGAGCTGGTCTGGATCCCTGGAGTGAGGCCATCAGTGGTATAGAAATCAGCTCACAGTGTTTCATATGGGGAGACTTACGCATATGTTGGCTCTGAGAACTTGGAGAGCTCCACTGATTGATTTGTAGTTGCCAGAGCACCAACTGACGCTCTGAAAAGAGCTATTTATTACTAAAATCTACCATGTGTATAGACTTTTGTCTTATACATGATGCTAGTATCATGCTTTATTTTTTAAGTGATAGCGTTTTGCTAGGCATACCAACCTAGTCTTTGGTGTTGAATAATTTGCACTTCGACTTCTCAGAACCAAAATCACAATGATTATGACCGTCACTGCAGCTATGAGTGCCACAGCCACCACTCCACCAATGATACCTCCTGTATTGTCTGTCTTAGTCTCAGTGCTTTCTGCAGTAGAGGCTGGAATTGAGAGTAAAGGAGGTAGCTAGCATAATAGTGACTGCAGTGGGTTAATACCAGTGGAGAAAAGTATGGGAGTGCTGTCAGTGGTTCCAGCTACATTAGTGGCTGATACAGTGAGTGTGTAGATAGTGGAGGGGTCCAACTGGAGGATGGTGTAGGTAGTGCCAGACAGAGGACCACTGGTGCTCTCAGCGCCTCTGTCAGTGGGTCTCCAGACCACCTCCAAACTGGCCACCCTCCCACTGGACACACTCCAGGAGAGGGAGATGGAGGTGGCTGTTATGGAGCTCACTGACACCAACACCTGTCCTGGAGCTGGGACTGGAATAGGGGATTACATTTAGATGAACTGTAGGACCATATCTCTCTCTTACTTAGTGTGATTTCAAATGTGGTGGCATCACTGAAGAGGTGTTTGGATGTAGCTACAATGGATATGGTGTAGGTCTGTCCATTGGTGAGACCAGTCAGAGTGTAGCTGTTGGTAGAGTCACCATCAATATCGACATCACTGCCTCCAGTGAAGGAGATCCTGTAGCCAGTGGTATCTCCCAGTGGAGAGGGAGGAGTCCAGGTCACTGTGATACTAGTGGGACCATCCTGGACTGCTGTCACATCAGTGGGAGATGGGGGACCTGAAAGTGAGCCAATATCATTACTGAATGACACATTACAGTAGATACCCTGCAATGTGATGCTAGCTGAGTCAGTAGATGGCTTGTTGTTAGCCACGGTACAGGTGTATAGTCCTTCAGTAGTCACAGTCAGAGTGTGGGTGTACTGTGCAGTCTCTGGGTCATTCAACACAGTCTCGTTTTGCTCTCCAATGATATTGATAGTGCTTCTTGTCCAAGTGACAGTGGTAGCAGGTCCACCAGTGGAGATACAGGAGAGGGTGAACTGAGGACTGGCTCCACTGAGGTCTGACTCCACTGCCAGATCCTCAGATATTGAGATGTCTCCTGCAATGTAGAATCAATTACACCAGGAACATTCTGTGAACCAATACATACCTCCTCCATTGTATAGTCCCACATAAACTCTCTGGTTAGTTTCTGTGTTGTCCAGTACCTCACAGTAATACATTCCTTCAGCTGCAGGATCAGTACCAATGTTCCTCGTCAGTCTCACTACCATAGGACCTCTGTTTCTCTCAAATCCAGGAACATCAGCACTGCCTAAACTACCCACTATGGTCCCATCTGGAGCAAACCAGTTTCCTCCAGAATTAGCATCACCATTTGGTGGAGAACGGTTTGTGATACACAGTAGAGCAGTGTTATCAGTGGAGCCAATATCACTGATTTTCACATAGCTATGATTACGGAAGATTTCACTGTTCAGACTGAGGTAGACACCTGGAAATGAAAGCACAAAAGAGCAAGCCCTTGGCCTAACACTGCATGATCAAAAAGCACTAGTTAATGGGCAAGGCCACATCCACACAGTTGCTAACAATGTCGGTTTCTCGCTCTAACTCAAGCCAGCAGCATTGGTGAGCATTTGGAGCAATGCTGGACTAAATGTTTGTCCCTCATGGGTCATAGGAAACAGGGCAAACAGCCATTTCAGAACCGTGGTTTTCTAATTGACATATCAGCCTCACTTGGAAGAGTTTCAGCCATTTCTGGGTCACTGTAGAGTCCAGTACCAGCACTGTTGATTGCCGCTACTTGGATAGAGTAAGCAGTGGAGGGATTGAGACCAGTGATGGTGGCTTCATTCACAGTAGCTCCATAAACAGTCACAGTCTGTGTGTCCCCACTCCCAATCACTCCATACTGGACTGAGTATCCTATGATGGCTCCATTCTGATGGATACATGGTACACTCCCCCACTGGACAGTGATGTTGGAGGAATTCACATCAGTTACAGCCACATCAGGAGGAGGGGCAGATGGAGCTGTGGGTATAGAGTTATCAGAATATGGGAACACACAGAGGGAAATACAAGGATACTAACCAGCAGTCAGTGTGGTGGCTGTGGTGCTGCCTTCTGAGTCCTCCATTCCCAGTCAGAGTGGCAGAGACAGTGATAGAATACTCAGTTCCCTCCTCACCATCGAGTGTGTGATGTC